AGGGGGGGGGAGGTGGGGAGGGGGGGAAATCCGTCCGATCACTCATGGTTTAAGCGCGGGGGCCAGGCAGGCAGCCAGATAGATGCTATGTAATGTATTTATGTGTTTATTAGGTCCCTAGGTAGGTGTTCAGACAGAGAGAGAAAGAGACAATATATGGCTCCATCCATCCATACCTCCAGCAGCCAGCACGGCAGTTGAGTTGCAGGTCTTTTCTTATTTGCGGCAGGCAGGCAGGAAGGAGGGCATTCATTTCATCATGATGCGCGCAATTAGAACGTTCACTTTCCATGGACCGAATCAATCAATCAACGAATGCATGTTAGTTATGTTGGCCGTGCGGTGCGTGCCAACACTTTGTTTAGCAGTCACGACTCTCATCCTTCCTGACTAACTGACTGACATTTTTCTGATCGATCATGTAGAATACGTACAAACGTTTACGCATCTGTCGGTCTCTGGTCTGTCTGTCTGTCTCCTACGAACGAATCGCGCACATGTGATGTGTCTGCCTGTACAAATCCCTCGCCAAGACGCACACACACGAGCTTGAGTCAGCTCCATCAGCTCCATCAGATCAGCCCTTGGCATCACCAGTGTCTTCCCCATCAACAGAGCCTGTTCACAAATCATATCATCACAGTGAGCTGGGTGTGTGTCCTGCCTGCCTGCCTGCAAACACACCACACCTCTGGCGGCAGCGGCCCTGTCCCTGGCTTCTTGTGAGTGCTGTTTCTCGAGGTAGGCCTGCTTGGTCGCCTCGAGCTGGTCCAGCAGCTGCTGATACAACAGGGAATGGGACGCACCTGCACACACACACACACACACACATGGGTATCGCGTGTGCCAACGTGCTGTGTGTGATGTGGTGTGGTGTGGTGTGGTGTGATGTGCAATGTTTTGCCTTTGAGGTCTGCGTCGACGGCCAGTTTGTGTTTGAGGAGGTCGATCTTGTCATCAAGCAGCTTCAGCTTCTCAGCCTCTGTCCAAGCCATGCACACACACACACACAGCCACAACCATTCATCCCCCCTGCCTGCCTATGTGTGTATGTGTGTTCATACCGCACCGCATCATCTATACTACCTGAGAATCCGCCGTACATGACGTGTGCCCGCTGCCTGTGTGTGAGTCGCCCCTCCGGCGGCGGCTCCGGCTCGTACTGCGGCTCGTCTTCTGGCAGGATGGCAAACGACTCCTCCAGCAGCTCACGAAACACGTTGTCCGCCCTGATGGCCTTCTTGGGCGACTTGACCACCTCGTCACTCTCACCTGACAGACCGAGAAGATATGGAAGAAGAAAATATGTCTCAAGTACTCAAGTGTCTTTGGGAGGGGGGCGGTGGGTGAATGATGCCCACTCACCGAGCTGCCGCAGGATGTCTGGTGCAGATACGTTTCTGTCTGGCCAGTCTTTGCGTCGGGTGATCTTCTCTTCGGCCGTCTCACTGTCGGTCACAAAGTCGGCTGTCTTTTGGAGCGAGTCGAGCCACCAGAGGTGCTTCTGCTTGACGCGGCTCTGGCGGGTCAGCTCTATAGCCTCAGTCACTGATGACGACACGCACACACACTGTGGCGCGGGCGGGTGGATGTTTTGGTGTGATGTGGTGTGCTGTTCGGCCAGTCACCTTTGGCCTCGATGCGCAGGCGATCTTTCAGTATCTGCACACCACACACACCGACAGACAGACAGACAGACAGACAGACAGACATGACACCGCATATAGAGCCGCGGTTGTGTGCCGGTGAATCCTGCGCACCGCTTTCTTCTTCCTCTTCTCGAACAGCTGCTGCCTGAAGGCCTCGCGACGGGCACGCCGCTCTGAACACAACGCAACACAGCACAGCACAGCACAGCACAGAAATGGTAGCTGTCTGCTGACATGACACCTGCAGCACATTCTTCGGCCTCCTACCTTTCCTCTCGGCCTGGAACAGTTTGAGCTGCTTGGCCCTCTCCTCCTCAGTCACCTCTGCACGAACGAACGCGACCCGAGATGCAAACAGATGTGATGTGCACTCTCACACCCGTTCGTTCACTGACCTGCCAGCTTCTGGAGGTACTGAGCGCGGTAGATCTTGCGCAAATCACGCATCTGCAGACATGAAACGAAATACCACCAACCAACAATATATTAAAATAATGGAGGCCCCTCTCCTCTCCTCGCCCCCCCTCTGTCCGTCTGTCAACTTACCTGCCTGTCCCAGCAGTACATCTCCGTCGAATACGGGTCGGTCCCCGGCCGCAGCGGCGCCGTCAGCTGCTGGTCGATCGCCCGCTGGGACAACAAGTGGTCCAGCCGCCGTTGCAGCACCTCTGGCCTGACAGTGGGCACGCCCTCGATGGGCTTGAGGAGCTTCTGCAGGGGGTTGATGGGCTTGGGGATGGGCACCCGTCTGGGCGGTGGAATCTCGCAGAAGGCGCGGGCCTTCTCGCGCAGACGGACGAAGCGGCGCACGGGATTCTCGAAAGGGCCCGTGCGGAGGCGGGGCTTCTCGCGCAGACGAGCCCTGACATTAACACAGACAGATTGGCGGTAAGCGTCAGGGCTCTGCAGTAGCTGTTAGTGGAGTGGAGTGGTACGGGGGGTGATGCTATCTATGGCTCACCTTGCGAACTTGCCTGGCGGCCTGAGGAACCTTGCTGCGAAGACTGCTCGCCTGTGGCTGGACAGCACCGCCGGTGTTGACATCTTCTTCTACCTCCAGGAGCTCAGCAGCTCGTACGATAGGGATAGAGCTCCTGAGCAGCCTCTTTCCTTTCGATGGATGAGTCAGTCACACATCAAATCATCATCATTTCAGCGGTAGAAAAGCCGAGATCTCAGTGCAGAGCTGTAGATCTTAGTGCGGTACACCATGTTGCCCCCCTGCCGCTTTGAACTTTGAACAGATCGGACGCATCTGAGCTCGCAACAAGGAAGGGGAGTTACTGGTACTACTCCTGTCACTGGTTCGCCCCTGCACACACAGCACCAAACACTAAGTGTCCACTGTCTGTCCGAACACTGAGTGTCCACTGTCTGTGTTGCAGATGGCGGTCCAGCTGCTGCGTGGGCTGCTGCGCGGCCTGATGCGCTTGCCGTGCTGCTGCCTTCATATGGACACTGGACGTCGCCACCCTCATCATGCTGACCATCGACCACAATGCGACGCCCCACCTGTACGTCATCACGAGCTTCATCACAACGTGCGCAGTCATCGGTGGCTCGTACCTCTGCACTAGACGTGAGAAACGGACACAGACGGCACGTTGCGCTCCTACTTGCCCGCTGCCGACCGATTACGGCGCCTCCTGTGACTGTCTCTGTCTGTCTGTCCTATGACTGTCTCTCTCTGTCTGTCTTGTCTGTCTGTATAGCAGGTGTGCTGTGGGAGAGAGGTGTAGTCGAATCGACGATCGTCTCGCTCACCCACACATACGCGGCGGGGGATGGCGGTGTTTCTCGCTGCCTGGCGGCTGGCTGGCGTGTCCGCGGCTGCCCGCACCCTCCAGACGGCAGATGGAGTGTTTCTCAGCACTTTTACTTCGCTGTCCCGGCGAGAATTCCACGGCTTAGCTCGCAAATTATTTCAGCACAAACGACGCTGCTGCTCTGAATTCCTGTCACTGGTTTCCCTTGCACACACAGCACCAAACATTAAGTGTCCACTGTCTGTCCGAACAGTAAGTGTCCACTGTCTGTCTTGCAGATGGCAGTCCATCTGCACGCCGGCATCATTCGCACTCAGGAGGCTCTGCATCCCATTGAAGGTGCACTCCGAGATATGCGGCATGCGTTCTTTTATGCCCTCGACAGTAATCACAGCTGCACAACACGCAGATAACAACACACCAGCACGGACACGAGCATGTCATCTGTCTGTGACACTACGTGTTTTGATGCAGATGCTCTCGAGCGTATTGCCAATGGTGCTGCACATTGTGATGTGTGCGATGACAACATTTCGACCGTCGACACGTTTGACAGCGATGGTCTGAGTAAGAGAAATCATTATTCGGCACAGAGGGCAGACCAGGCATAGCAGAGGATGAACAAGGATGTGGTTGGCCTCTGTGTGTGCAGGAAGGGACCTGGCGAAGGAAAAATCGGCTCGTTCGATGGTTTCGACTGGAGGGCTCTGGCATGTGTGGAGCATTGCACATGTCACGAGGACCAATGGATGGCCTCATTCAGGTATAAAGCAGCGACAGCGAATCCAGACAAGAACTATATGGGTATTCTTTGCTGCTCCTTGCCTATACGTGCATGCAGGTGATGACGATGCCCCGACGGTCTTCTGTGAGAGCGTCAAGTTCTGTTGGGTCATATGCAGGACTTGTAAGCGCCTGTTCGGCCTGGCCTATGTTATTCAGTGAGCACTCTGCATACACAATCAACACACATACACACACACGCCCCCTCCATAACTCTCCCTGCTATGCGTTGCCTTCCTCTTTCTGCCTCCTAACCGACAGGGACAGCCGTGGCAACGAGTACCTCGAAGTAAATAAGCGGTCCACCGTCACGCGCATGTTCGGCGCCAACGAGCTTCCCCCATCAAACGTGGAGTTCGTCATCCAAACTCTGCAGTGCCCCCGCAAGGATGGCGGTGAGACCCATGACTCTTATATGACGTTCCACATGTAGGCGCCGCACTCAGCACACATACGAGTACAGTCGCAGCCACAGCAACATGCACGTCGCTCTTGCATTTTGTCGCTCTCTTGCCGACTTGCAGTGAGGATGCCGATGAGTGATGAGAACTCGACGATATCCACACATACATACATACCTACATACACACATACGCCCCCCCCCCCTCCCCCCCCCACACACATACACAGAGTTTTCTCCACTCTCTCCTCTTAGGGC